CAATAAATTGTTTTAAAGATTTTATCTTTGCCATTGTCAGTAACAAATCTTTGATATTATCCTTCAATCCATATCTAAATTGATTGATAAGGGCTTTATCATTTCACTCCACGTTGTTAGCAAGATTTTGGAATTCAGTAGCATATATGGTGGCTGATCGTGATCCTTGTTGTAAAGATAAGAGCTTGGACTCTGCTACTCTTTTTCAATTATTTTCTTCGAATGTGGCCATAAATACTTCTAGGAATGAATTCAAATCATAAAGAAGTCATGAATCTTTTTCCATTAAAGGTACAAATCAAAAGAACTTACTTCTTCATAGAAGTATGCCTATGAATCTGACTTGAGTAAATCCATCGAGATCTTGGAAAAGATACAACCTTAGATAGAGCTCAACTTGTTATAAAAATCCTCAAAATTTTGATCTTATTCCATCAAACTTCTCAAGTATACTAATTCTTGTCTCTGTTATATTTGTAGAAGTAAAACTCCTTAGATTTAGTTGTAAGGTCAATCTACTTGCTTCCTTCAATTGTACAACTTCTTGTCATAGACTTTAAACTTCTTCCATAGGCATAGGCATAGTACCTTCATGATTCAAGTTGGAAATATGTCAGATTTTCACTCTTAGACTATTGACAAGCTCATGAAGATCTATAATAGTTGCAAATCTATTCTTGCTTCTGCTAAGAGTAGTATCCATAATGTTTCTTTCCATAGACAACTCACATAAATTCAAAAGGTTAAATTAGACAAAGGTAGTCTGCAACCTCTAATAAAAATTTCTACAAAGAGAGATAATCTACTATCTTTAAGGAAAAGATCTGTATTAAAAAATAAGATTTTTTATTTAAAGGTGGATAGTCTGTAACCTTCAAAATACAATAATAGAAGTAGGATAATTCATTCACTTTTAAAACAAGAAAAAAACAGTATGTTAGCATTCTTGTTAAATTGTCAAGGACATAAATCTCAAAGAAAAAAAATCCTCAATATATTTTTTTATCATTGAAGAGAACTAGACAGTCAGTAAAAAGATGATATAATATTAAACTAAAATGGCTATTGTTAAAACAACAAGACTAGAAAGTCTAGAAATAATACTAAGTATTAGAAAGGCGTTGACAAAATTGAAGAAAGATTGACTCTTCCTTCCATATATACTCTCTAATTAAGAGCTACATGGCAATATTCTATAGGACCTCTAACATGTGTTGACTTTGCTAGTGACATGTCTTAACTTGCAAGGCAAGTTATCTATGTATGCGCTACATAGCTAACTTGTTCTGTAAGCTACCAACACGTGATTAACTTGTTGGCCAAGTTTCTAACCTACAAACACATTTAAAGTCAAAACCGTGTCTATGAAGCTTTTAGAAAGCTAATCTAGAAGACTTTATAAAATTAATCTATATTTATCTACTTCTACTTAATCATATAAGTAAATATTGGAATAAATATATATGTTTGTAATACAAATATATTAATTTAATAAAATATAACTTATTAGCCACTTGACCACTTTTTTTACAACTTAAAAAATATAAAGTTTCACATGTTGATCACTTGTTTTATAAGTTTATAAGAATATTAATTATAATTTTATTATATAAAATCCGAATTTCTAATACAAACTATAATTTTGAATAATTCTTTTAAAGTAATTTTAAAACCAAATAAAATAAATCTTTGACTTTTAAAACAAGCTCAAAATTAGTTTCCAATCCTACATGCCAATCTTTAAATATCCTTGTACTTGGCATTAAGCAACTATTTTAGTAGGTGCAGAAATGATTTTGACTATGATTTATAAATAATTATCTCTCCAATATCAATCCAACCAATCTTAAAATTCTTTTAGCATGATCCTATACTTAGTTATGTCTTAGAGTCAATCATATAAACTATTTACCTAATCCACCTCATTTCAATTATTTTATGGCCTTTTATTAAAATCAAAGTATTTTTATAATAAAACAATGCCTAAAAAGAAAATTTATTAATAAATTTTAATATATTAGATAATATAATAAGCAAAATAAAGTAGAAAGCTTTCATAAAGCCTAATTTAAATATTTTGAATTCTTATTGAACTAAAATGATAGAATATTAATTAAAATTTTATTTTTATTTTTTATTTTTATTTTTATTATATTATTATATTAAAATAAAAGAAAATTCTTATCTTATATCAAAATAAAAAATTCATATTTTAGTTAATAAAAAATAAATCTTTTAAAGCTAAAAAAATTCATATTCAAGCAATAAAAATAAAATTAATTTTTGATTTAATATTTCATCATTAAGTTTAATAAAGTATTTCCTCAAATCTTTTAATGCATGATAATAAGAATAATTCTTTTAAATCATATAATACTTTTAAGTTTGAATTTAAGAATAATCTTTTTTATCTTGAGGAACTTTTATGTATTCTAAAAACTAAAGCACTACTACATGCTCTTTAATTACAGCACAATTTTTTAGTTGCAAGACATTATAGATACAACATAATCTTAGAGTCATTATTAAGAGATTTTTGGTGGCCTTATATATAGAAGAAATTTAAAGACTTTGTACAATCATGTGGTATTTATTCAATATCAAAAACTCCTTGTCATTGGTCTTGTGGACTTCTCCAACCATTACCTATATTAAAACAACTATAATCATCTCTTTCTATGGATTTAATTTCTAATTTTTTAATATCAAGTTCTTATGATTCTATATTTTTGATAGTATATTTTTTTACTAAAGTAAAATATTTTTTATTATGTACAAAAACTATCACACGTGAAGAAATAATTAGATTTTTTAAAATAATTTTATTGTTATTATAGAGTGTTGAAAAATATTATATTAGATAAAAGAATCAAATTTATATTTAGATTTTTGATATATTTTTTAAAATATTATATATAAATATGAAATTATTTTTTATCTCTTATTTTAATGAATGAATTAAGTATTTGAATAATATTTGAAATATAATATCAATTATCATAAAGATGATTGAATAATTCTTTTACTATTAGAAAGTTTTGTCTTTAATAATATGATATATTTTTCTACTCAATAATCACCTATCTATATTAATTATGGTTATCATCAATACTTTGATATCTTTGACTTTTTTAAAGCTGATAAACTTACAATAAAATATTTAGCTAATTATTTATAAAAACTACATGTAAAAATGAAGGTACAATTTAAAAAAATAAAGAACAACAAAATGATCAATGTAGATGTCTATTACAAAGAACAACCTCAATTTTATGTTGGCTATAAGGTATAGTTACTTTGTTGTAATATTAAGACTATTTGTCCTTATTACAAGTTAGATTGCCATAGACTTGGATCATTTTGTATTTGTGAATAGATTAATTTTATTGTATATCAATTATATTTACTAGACTTTATAAAATCTATCCATAGTTCTATGTATGAAGTTAAAATTTACCTCGTATCTCAAATTATAAGATTGCTTCAATTAAAAGTTATTTGTAATTGGAAATATAAAGTAGAAGCGGTAATAAATAAGAATAAAAGAAGAAAAACACAAATAAGTGAAATAAGTGTAATCAAGCAATTGCATACTATAAAATTAGTTATAGTATATTCAATAGATTTTTATCCAAAAAAATTTAAAAATTAAAATAAAACATATATTTTTAGGTAGATAATTTTTAATCTTTTCAATGATTTAAAGATTTAAAATTTAAGACAAAAGATCTAAAAGAGATTATACAAATAGGACTTATTAGCTATAAAAAAAAGTAGCAATTAATAAGTGGCATATAAACACTAGTATAAGTACATCTAAATTTTGTCATATATAGTTTTTGAAACTAAAAACTCCATATCACTATATCTCTACACACGAGGATCATAACATTAATTAGCTTCACTCATATATAAAGTAATATCAAAGAACATGTATAGCATATTTTTTATTTTAAAAAATATTTTTTACATACTGACTCCCATCAAAGTTTAAAAGTCCTAGAATTATATGGATGTTATCGAGAAGGATATGCTTGTGGACTATAAGTATTAAATAAATTGCTATGGTTTTCAAAGGTTATATATGATGTATCTTACAATCACATAAACTTTCTTGCAAATGTCGAATTGAATATGAATAGGTTATATGAAAAAAGACAAATAAAAAGAAACAAATGCTAGTCCAATATCATGTTTGTCAAACAATAGACTAAACCATGGATGATAAATAATATTTTGGAGAAATAATAAATAAAAAAATAACATTAAATGAAACTGTAAAATTCTGCATAATGGTTTAGTTGTCTATGCACCGTATACAGCTTGGCAAGGGGGATAAGTTTTATCAATATTCTCTCATATTTTGCCTCTTTTGCTAGCCTAATAATTTCGATATTAGGGTTTAACCTGGGTATCTGGAATCAAGGTTGTACTTTTTCCTTCTTATCAATGTAATGCATTAGCCACCATTTTCAGTCAACAAAGAAAGAAGAGAAAAGAATAGAAAAACCTGAACCTCAAAAAACTATTTATCCCGCCATTCAATCCTCTCTCACTCCAGCACCGCGTCATACTTCATGAAGAATATACCTCAAACAATTCAGATAACACAACCTGCATCAACACACAAACCCCATCAATACAACTCTAATTGTCAAGAGAAATGAGACATTTTGCTAAGCGAAGATCTACACCTGCAATACTATGTAAACACTCACGTCCTCCGGAAATCATTCTACATTTCAATTACGCAGAATCAACAAGAAATCTTGAAAAATTTAAAATTAAACCAACATTGCAAGCATTTCAAACATATCCAACGCCATGCCCTCGGCCATTTAGATATCTTGTGTGTCCAAATTTCATGTGTGAATGCGCATGGCACCCCCCGCCCAATTCCACACTTTGCTTCAAATACACATGGATTTCTAAAATAATGCTAAGTAGTCGGTGGTGTTACATGCTGTTTAAGGTTTTGAGAACATACAGTTAGGACTACAAAATATTCTGAACAAATTATGTGTTTCGAATGTATCAAAACTGTTGTATGAGGATGATACTTCGTTTCTTGACCCTTCAATTCTGCTGTCCTCGGACTTCAAGGCTTGATCGATTGTCTTTTAATCGTCCAACTCCATCCGTAGAGACTTGAATGAAGAGCGAGAGAGGAAAGCAGAATTGGGATTAAGAGGGTATTCGAAGGAGATGGTAGCGAACTCTTGGAATGCAGCACTGCCCTGGACTTGACCGAAGCGCAGGGGTGCGGATCTTGTTCCGAAAAGCTGCTGCATTGGGAGGATTGAGGCAGAATCAGGCAGCCAAGGCATCAGTAGATTTCTTCAGAGTGGAATCCACACTCCGAATCGGTCGACTCGGCGCGCACCCACCTTTGAAATGACGAAATATAGTGACGGGGATCGTAACAGATTATGAGGTCATTTTAGGTGTAGAAATCTATGTAGAGTTTGGGATGACCGTTAAAGCAGTGAGTCAAACTCAAAAGTCTGCCTTGTTTGTACGGGTCCTCCTATTAATACTTTGAGTCTTACACAAGTTAGTGGTGGAGGCTGCTGTGAATCTGGGACTCACTCTACGAACAGATGTCATATTGGAGTTTTAGTGCGACAGAAAGCATTACTTTCACCCTCATTTGGCAAAGGGTTACCAGATCTCGCAATTTGATATTCCCGTCGTTGAGAATAGCTAAATGCATATATCCTTTCTTGGGGAATTTGTCAGTGGCCAGTGCTGGTTAGGAATTACCTGGGTCCGTCTGGAAGTAACCATTGGCAAATTGACTCCCGCAGTTTATAACAGGCTTTTCGGATTCTTCTCGTCACGGGTATGCTTGCTGAATGCTTTAACTCAAATCACTAAACCCTAATGCTAAAGAAAGGTTGTAGTAATTGGAAGGTTGGCCTTCTTTAGAGCTTGATATTCGTCTTTGCAGGTAGATTGGATTATAGCTGGTGTGTTTCTGCCGTAGGTGATCTCGGAGTCGGAGGTGCGAACTGGACTTGAGGCAGCTGAGTATGCGCAGAATGACAGTTGATTGTATGACACTTGGGTGTCAGCAATAGTAACATCCAGGAGTTTTGCCAAATCTTATCCAGAAACAGGGATCAATGTGCTGCAATGTCAATATTTCTATGCAACCGAGGGGTTGACCCCAATTTGGAACCGAGGTACTCTTGGTCAATTTGTGACATTAATTTAATTGTTTGGGATGGGACCAAGTTTCAGTATAAATAGCAGGAATAAACCTCAGTGGTCGTTAGTACTGCAGCAATTCTACAAATCGAGTACTTGTAGGGAGTAAGTTATCAGCTCGAGAACTTGAAACTTCTTGTGTGACATTGTGTGCGTTAATAAAAGCTCTAAAAACCAGCCTCACGGATGTGCCTTGTAAACTGATAATTTCGCTGGACACAGGTTTTGCCAAGTTTTATCGAGAAGGAAGCTGTGCAAACGAAATAGTAGAATCAGAGAGTCTCGGCCAGGTAACCGTTCTTGTAGTATATTCTCTTGGCTTCACAATTGTTGCAGTTGTCACTGGCTCCTGGTATTCTTCAATACCCATTAGTGTATCAAGGATTGACTTTGCTTCCACTTAATCGGATGTAAACACTTGGTCTATCAGGTGAATTGAATTTAGGACTTTTGAAATCTTGGTTAAGCGTTAGGTACAATGATTGGTTCTAATATTTTCAATTCAACTCCAAAATGTATTGAACTAAACAGTCAACGTAAAGAAAGTAAAGTTCTATATTTGCACTACAGAAATTCAATTTTTTTAATTTATTAGCTTACTGGGGTTTGAGACAGACTCAGTGTCATGGAATTTCTCTTGGTAGTATTTTTTGTTTGATTTTTCTTATGGGTGTTGGTATGTGAAGGGACTTTCTGAAGATGAGCAGTTCATTCCTTTCCCAAGACGTTTCTGTCTAGCATGAGCTCCTTCAAATAGTTAATATCTTTCTGCGCTGCATTGTTGCATTCTACACATGCCAGGCAATGAAGGCATCGAGTGTAAGAGTGAACCCAGGTCTAATCAACAATTTCCTGCTGCCTAAGCTGAACGGCTAGTGCTTTTTCAGCATGTTCTCTTGTGATTTTGAATCAAGGACCATTTTGTAACTGGCAACAGCAATGCACACCGCATTCTCTAAGCGAGCAGTGGATTTCTATTCAAGAGGTATGTTCCACCTGCATTACTCTTGGATATTTGACTCGGGCACTATTCAAAGGTTTTGCGACAGGTTGGTGGATATCAAGCAGCATGATTTGTAAGAATTTGCTCCAATTGACCTTCGAGAACCACGAGGACTTGAAATTGAAGTGAGTCCCAGCTCTACTCTGCAAAAACTTACCGGGTTTCTGCTCATTTCATCTATGAAGTCAAAATTTCCATATGTTGTGGCTATTTGACACCTTGGATCACGAAGCATTAACTACCAATGGGAGTAGGGTTTCCTTTCAAATCTGGAAGGTCATACGACATCAAGCACCAATATGAGAGCGCTCCTGTTCCTATTTGGAATATCCCTCAGATTGTTCCTGTGCTTCAACGTTAGCTCACCTCATTAAATTTTGAAGGATAGAAGCATATCAACGTATGTTCCAGAATTGAAGAGAGGGTCCACATCCGATGGCAGTTGATGTTATACATTTCTGAATTCTGTATTATATTGGTTGATTCATAGTCAACCGGGTCTTGCTGAAATCATCCAGGTCTGTGGGAAGGTTCTACATCTATCATTTTCATGAATATGATATAGTCTTAATTTATTTTATAAAACCATAGCAGATTGTATTATCCGCATGATCGATTGGCAGTCTTTGACCTTTTCCACATCTTGTTACTTTCATAGTAGTCACACTTGAACTTTATGTACTTGTCCATGCAATGATGATTCAGTGGTTTTACGTGATTGATGTTAATAAATTATTATTTTTGGAAGTCTATCAGCTTATCGCACTTGTGTATTGATACGACTAATTCTTTGTCCTAGTCGGGTTCTGCAGAGTGGACGATTATTCGGATATGATTCCAAGCCTTCTAATCGCTTAATCATTTCAAGCAGTTGCTATACAGGGGTGAAGTCGCTTGTAGAACCCTAATCCACAAGAATCCTGTAGTGGTGCTAGCATGCACAGTATCAATTTGATTATTCTGCGCAGCTCAACCAGTTCGCCGCGAGAATAAAGCATCCTATGAGATCTATACAACTGGAATCGTGATAGATGAGATACTCGGCATTCACCTCCTTTCTCCAAATTGACTATTCTCTTTCCACCTTTATCTGCTACTCAGTGTTAGACAGCTGATGGACAATTTTATGATAATATCTGGACTAAGGCTGCCTCATGAGATTGCACCTCGCTCCACCACGAAAGCAGATGCAACCAATATCCTATGTGGGCGGTCTCTATGCACCTCCTCCTGATGGAAAATGTCTGAGCTTCTGACACATCGACCCGAACTAAAGAGTCTAATTCGCCTGTTAACCAAGCAGCGCCTTCGCCTTTTTGAAGAATTTGACACATTCTATGACCACGTCCTGTTGCCGACCATCTTACTGTTCACACTCAAGTGGAGAACTTGACCATATCTCGTCTCATTGGGCTTGCTTGTTTTCTTGCAGGGCTAGAAACGTCGAAAATGGGAAGAAAACTTCGCGTCCTCACGCTTATGTGTTGCTCAGCACGTTGTGGAGAGCGGAAACATTCTTTTGCGCCAAATCGCCCTTACTGGCTGAGCAATTGTGGAGATGAGTGCAGGAGACATAGGGTATGGATTTAAGCCTCTGAAAAGTCAGCATCTGAGTAGACGCAGGGTCAGGTCAGTCGCCCAAGCGGTCAGAAAGGCCGACATAAACCTTCTTAGATCACAGGCCATGCACTCACCCATACCTTGGCCCATTGTGAAGACCTGTCTTGCACCTATTCCATTAACTGCTGGATTGTGTCAAAGTAGCTGAGAATGGGTCCAGCTCAGGGGGGCTCCGCAGCAGCAGCAGCAGCAGTAGGCAGCACACTACTGTCTGTTCAAGTGTTCAAACGCCTATACTCTTTAGTGTCGCTGAAAAGTTCAGTAAATGCTCCAGATAGCTGTAAACAATTTTGCCCTGTCTACTTTGTGTTGAACGCTAGCATGGTTTGTATGCCTCGTGTCCAATCAAGCCTTCTTCACATGTCATCTTCGCCACATCTATCCAGTAACCTCAAAAGCCATCTAGCTGCCACCAAAATTCATGAAAAATATCATGCAAATAACCGTTTGCATTTGACCGTCACATCGGAGAAATTGGTGCACAAAATTTTGTGATCAATGTAAGCCTTATAGGCGTTTGAAACAAATCTCTATATCCCTTTGTTGCTGGACTATCAGATTTTTGCTCCATTTAAGACATTCTGTTATTGTCCATTTGTGTCCACTTCAACACCCAGATTTCAAAAGAGCATTAGTTCTTCTAAATTCTCCTAGTAGAATTCCATGAGGATTCAATCAATCCAAGTTGAACTCGTATTCCCTCTTCGACTTCAACTATTCTGAATTCAATTAACTAGTCGGGAATCTGACAGAAATAAAGGGCGTGGATACTAACCTGCTACCCCCAGCACTGTGAAGGTGTGTCTTACGGTTCCCTCATGGAGTAGATTTCTTTTATTAAAGAATGTAGTGACAATCTGTCATTTTTTGCGTTTCTGCAGATCACACCACAATCAAGCCACAGCAAATTTTGCATTGGGTTTCAACAGAGTACAAAGATTGTGGGCCTTCCTCAGCAATAGTACGACATGATTGTAAGTTGTGTGTGTTTCTTCAGGAGCTTGGGGAACATGGAGATGCACAAACGAGATCTGTTTTTCCTCTTGTACGCTAGACTTCTCCTTGTTATTAGTTGATATGGGTTTGAAGTTATTGAGCCACTATGACTGCAGTTAAGGAGCAAGTTCTCTTAGCTAAGCTCCATGCATATTCCCCTTGTGAGGTTTGCTTATGATTTTCAGAAAGTTTCAGACAGGTGGGATTGAATCTAACAAATCACAATGAAGTCTTAGCTCTGAGTTTGGTTTCATGTCATTTGGAGACCCAAATTAAACCCATCAGAAGTTGATGATCAAGGGCTAGTACTTTGGGTACTTCAATTAATGTACAACTATTTTATGACGTACACTAAGGAAGGTGGATTTAATGTTTCTCTCCCTTGCATGGGAAGTCATGTCATGAGAGCATTGGAAGTCCTTCTGTTGCAAACTAGAGGGGAATTATATTTGTCATGAAACAAAAAAGGAACATCATGTCCAGTACTGAGTGGGTTTAGGTGCTGGAAGGGAAGCCCCCAAAGCTGGTACAAAATCATCTGCACTTGAAGATCCAGCTAGAGTGTATTGCAATGATCAATTGAGTTTTTTGATTTTTTTTTTGATTTTTTTTTTTTTTTTTTTTTCCCCTCTGTGTTAGTTCCCTTTATCATGTAGCATTTGAGATGTTGGCATAGAAACCAGAAATTTGGGCACAAAATTTGCACAGTAAATCCCTCTTGTGATATGAGACCTTGTTGGTACTTGTTCCAAAGTAAGAACAAACATGGCTGGATGCTCATATTAGCAAAATGCTCAACAACATCATGCTGTGTGGAATGCAGATCTAAGTTAAGATTGGAGGTGGTTTTGAGTTCCTCTGACAAAATCAACAATCCCAATCCATGTTTTTATTTGATGAAACAAAACTGAAGTTTGAAGATCAATGCTTTGGGGCACACCCCAGCCATGTCAAAAAAATACTAGAAAACTAAAGTTAGTGTGGATATTCTTAATTGCTTGGTGTGTTGCAAATGCTAGGATAGATTTTTATCCTCAAAATCATGTTCAGCAACTTGGAAGATTTCAATATTACATACTTTGAGACTTATTAGTGATGTTGCACACCTACTTCAGCTCATCATTTCACATAGCAAGCTTGATGGATAATGTCCAATTACTAATTCTGAGCATGTCTCGTAGATTGTATACTTATATATATATATATATATATACAGAGAGGAACATAGAAAGGCAACACTGAACCAGGGACATTACAAGCATTGTCAGTGCACAAACAAAGTGAAATGGGGTAGAAGGCTGAGTACATGGCTGCTCTTGCCACATCATTTTGCTGGACACACACTGGCATTGCCCTTCCAATTCCTTGTCATGAATTCCACCTGGAGATCCACTGCAAGGACTCCTGCCCCATTGATCTCATCTGACTGCCTTCCTTTCCCAGCTGGCATCTCATCACTCTGGTCATCCTCTGTCCCTTGTCAACAACAACTAAGATTAACAAACTAATAAATAAATGAAGGCACGATTCACATTCTCACTCAGATACCCTAATCACCCTAATACAACCTTTGAAGTCAGAATGTTAAGACAAACAAGGATAAAAAAATAACTAATAAACAATAAAATAGCAATATCAATGCAACTCGAAATGGCAACAATCTTTTTGCATGTGATTATGATGCCCTGGATGTGATGAATGAAGGATGTGTTTGACATGGCTAAGTGAGACACCTATCTGACACATGTCAGATTCCTTCAAAAGTAAATTTTTTCCAAAAAAAAAAGTTTTGAAGGGAAAACCATGGTTAATTAAAAATAACAAAAACACATAAAAATCTAAACCACTCAATGCTAACTAATCTGATTGGGACATGGTACCCTGCACCTTGTGTATTTTTCTTATAATTGCCAGAGAACCCCCAAATGATTAGGCTTTCAATTATAGCGGCGAAGCATTGTTTGAATTTCCAGCATGGGTGGATTCAAGAGGGGGGATGAATAGCTCAGACAAGGAAGAGCAAAGTTGAAGTTGGTTGAATGGGAGTGGGTTTCATAACAGTTTTTTCCAAAATGGGACGTGGTAAAAACCTGCCTCAGCTTTGCATGATATCCATTTCTATCTACCTCCACTTTAGACCCATTCCAATCTCTATGTCTCCACTGTGAAGGGCCCCACAATCCATATTCATACCCTCTTGGTTGAGCCTCAATTGACACATCACATGCATGCAAGTGAAGGAATGTTAGATCTGTCATCATGGTGTCTACCATTGTAAAGTTCCATGATCCCACAGGTTGGAGAGGACAAGCCATTAATCCCATACCCATTCAAACCCAATTTAATAACATGAACAACCCCCCCCCTTCATATATATATTTATATATATATATATATATATATATATATATGCTTATCTTTAGATAGATGGCACAGTGCTTAGCCTGAATTTTAAAGAAGGAAACACTAACTGATTCAAATAAAGAAAAGAAAACCCCAACTGTTTATTAAAACTTGTAAGTGATACAAACTAATACAATTTCAGTTGTAAATCCTTATTAAATATTAAATTGACAATCTGAAATCTCTAAAATCCCAACCACTCAAATTCTGTTGTTGTTGTTGTTGGTAATATTATTGTTACACACACACACATTAGAAACCAAAGTCTTAGGTTTAAATCTGTGTGGAAGGATTTCATTTTGAACAAACCGACTACTCATTAAATAAGGATGATTAAACAAGCACTTCTATTCCAAGGGGGAGTAAAAAAGCAAAGGGCTGAGGGGAGCAAAGCTGAGGGGAGAAGGGAGAAGAGGAATGAATAAGGAAAGGGGGAGAGAAAAGCATGAGGCCCGAAACCAGCTAAGCTTGGGCTTTGCACTGGTTGCATGATGTGTTCCTCACACAATGGATATCAGTGGTGGAAGAAGATCAGGGAAGAAGAAGAAGCGTACTCTCTCTTACTCTCTCTTACTCTCTCACTCCCTCTCCCTTCCCTTGTCTTGCTTTCTCTTCTAATAGTGAAGTGAGATGAGTATGCTTGCGTCGTCTCGAAAGGGGGGCGCTGGGGGTATGCAGGAGGCAGGTTGGGTGGGATTCACAAGGTTGCTGCGATATGAGGGGATAAGGATTCGATCCCCGGATCGCTCCACTCTCTGCGTGCCCTCCGTGACAAATCAGCGCCGGGTCAGGCCCAACCCAACACCCTTCTAACGGGTTCAGCAGGCCTGTCGCGCCTCGGGAGCGGGTCGGACCCGACTCTTCCTGACCCTGGCCTGCCTTGCCTGCCTCAGCCGATCGGGGTGAGCCCCGGGTCCGGACCGTCTTCATCCCCTTCCCCTTCCCTTCCCCATCATGCTCTCATCAAGGCTGGCGGCGCCTAAGTGATGAATGATGCAAGCTAGGCCTCCTTCCAGACCATCCCCGTGTTAGCTGTCTGATGCTGCTGCTGCTACTGCTCAGGCCAGGCCCCCCTTCAACTCTATATTTCCCAACGAACTCGCCCCATTTCTCTCACCTTCAGGCGGCGCACTCGTCTTCCACCCTCCAGCTTTGGGTGCTTTTCATCTCTCGCCTTCACACACATCCCCCCCCCACACCACCTCCCTGTTTCCATGAAATTTGGACTACTCTCAGCCGAAGCGCACTCGCTGCTGTGAGATCCTCGCCATTCTTGGAGATCACCCTTTCCTTTGCACACCCTCTTCATATCGATTGGAGCCGTTGTTTTGTCTCTTCGTGTAGACGTCCTTTTGTCCACTGTCGGAACTCGTTTCCCTGCGTTGCAATTCAGTTGGTGCGGTGGTGGTGGTGTTGCTGTTTTGGGACAGTGTATAGCCTTGCCTTTGGAAGTGTTAGTTTTTACAAAGCGTGGAGGGTGGAGGAATTTGAAGCGCATGGGGTTCTGCAGAGAGTGAGCGGAAGGTGTTAGTGGGATTTTTGAATGGTGTGTGGAGAGGTGGTCATGGTGCCGAGATTGGGGAGTTGGTAGAAGTGGTGGTTGTAGTCAGGAGGATGGTGTTGCATTGGGAATGATTTTGCAGGTGAAAACTGGATTCGGTCCAGTTAGAAGCTTCAGTTCTGAATGTTGATGTTTGTGAGGAAAGACACGAGGGATGGGCCCATTTCTGGTGACATTGTGACAGTCCCTCAGATCTGCTCCAGGAGAGTGAGAGCGATAGAGGTTATCTCTCTCGGATCAGCCAATTCAAGAATATCGTTGTGATTTTCTTGTGTGCAAGAAGCGGAGTGGAAATGGTCTCCCAAGTTACACCTGTGGATGATAGGTCCGAAGTTGTGATCATCATTCGCAAATACAGCGATTTTACTGTGGAGCAGCTTGCTGCTTTCGACATGCGGATGGAAATTTGTCCAGCAGGGTCAGAATCGCTCGGCTTCGATTTACTTGGTGATCCTCTATGCCGAGTTCGCCACCTTCCCTCGTTTCATATGCTGGTAACGAACCGCTTCAACTCTACGTACTGAAGAATTATTTGGCTTCCCTTTCAGTCCTGTAATAAACCTGGGCTCCGCTGTGGAGAGATAATCGCAGGATGCATGAGAAACATGAGTAACATTCTTGCTGCGACGTTTTGAACAGGTTGCCGAAATTGGAGGTGAAATCGTAGGGGTCATTAGAGGCAGCGTGAAGGATGTGGTGTGCAGCTCAGATAAAGCCTTGGTCCGCAATCCTCCTTATGAACGTGTTGGATACCTCCTTGGTCTCCGAGTTTGCCCTCGTCACAGGTAAACCCAATCACAAGGGCCTTCATTTGACAGCTTAGAATCGCATCTTGATGACAGAACTTACTATCGTGTCTGCATTGCCAGGCGAATGGGCATTGCGTTGAAGCTAGCACAAGCTATGGAGGAATGGTGCCAGGAACAGGGCGCCAAATACGTCTACATGGCTACAACGAAAGACAATGAAGCATCCTTAAAGCTTTTTACAGAGCGTCTCAACTACAGCCACTTTCGCACTCCCGCTATCTTCGTCCAACCCGTGCATGTTCATGAGCGCCGCATCTCATCGCGCATTCAATTGACAAAGATATCCTCTGATCATGCAGCAGCGCTCTACCGCGCAACAATGGGCACAGCCGAGTTCTTCCCTAAAGACATCGACGCTGTGTTGCGCAACAAGCTCTGCGAGGGCACTTGGATTGCCACTTTCAAGAAGGATCGCCTCGACCATGAGCTCAACAATTTAGCATGCGAGAGCGGGAGAGGTGGGAGAATGGTTGATGGAGGTTGGGCCAAGGGTGCGCCATGGGCTGTCCTGAGCGTCTGGAGGAGTAACGATCTGTTCCGGTGCGAGTACAGAAACGCCTCATGGATGAAGAAAACAGGGGCGGCATTGTCTAGATTGGTGGATTTCTGCTTGCCCGGATGCCGAGTACCCTCCGTCCCTAATTTTTTTGATCCTTTCGGCGTGCAATTCATGTTCGGTTTGCACTCGGAGGGCGACCGAGGGCCTGAGCTTCTACATTCTCTCTGCTGGCATGCACATAATTTGGCAAGGAAGAATGACTGTAAAGCGGTGATGTCCGAGGTTGCGCCCACCGATCCTGCATGGAGTAGCATTCCGCATTGGAAGAAACTCTCTTCCACTGAAGACATGTGGTGCATCAAGTTCGTCGGAGAGAGAGGCTCCTCAAAATCCCTGTTTGACGACTGCGACTGGTACCAAGCACCTCCAAAGCCCGTCCTTTTTGTAGATCCTCGAGAGGTGTAAAAATCTTGCTTAATTCTTGAACCTTTCTGTAACATACCCAGCTTCTCTCCATCTGCACAGCGAGAGGCTTTTCATTTCTGACTTTGCTTGCCTCGGAACCGACGAATGTGAGATGGGTTCCACCTCAGAGGCCAGGTTTTGTCGACATCGGCTACACTTAAATGACGCCGCAATTTTTTCTGTAGGTGGATGTTCAATTGCATAAATCAATTGGCGTCCTGAGATGGTGATCCATAACAAATTTTGTTTCCGGTGGATGGTGCTTGCACGTATTAGGTCAGGTTAGCGTTTTTGAGTGTTTAGTTTAGCAACGCTGAACGTGCGAGCTCATACAGGGCAATGTCGCAAAGACCTTCCCAATCCAGGCGATTAATGAACGTCGTTTCCCTTTTGTCCATTACAAAGAGTCGAAAACCCTCCTGTCCGATACTCTTGCACACAGGTCTTCGAACTTAGCATGAACACCGCGCAGTTTTATGCTCCGTCCTGCCCATTTTGCCTTTGATGAAAAGACGGCGGACAGTTATAGTACCAGTCCGTAGACTCGTGGTGCAAACCTACCACCTACTCATCCACTGCAGTCGTAGTCCAATACTTCTGTGTAATGTATCACCAAGCCAAATTCAGTTCATTCCATCCAATCACAGTTGTATTAGACCTTGTCACCCGCTTCATCGGAACCATGCGACCGATCCTGTCATCTACGGTATGGTACCAGTTTGTTAATAACAGTCTCGTCGACAACTTGCAAAAAATCTGTTATTGGATTAAGCCACCTTTTTCGAATTTTGCATCTTTATGGTTATTTCCATATTCATCACACCAGAAGGCATCATGCGCCATCCTTCATCTATTTAAACATCATTACAATGACCTCCCCCTCCTGCCCTTCCACATATAGTAGAGCTGCCATCAAAATGATAAGTATTAATAGCTTTGTGGATCTAGATCGTACTTTACCGGCTTCTCCGCAGTGCCTCGCCGTCATGGCGATCCGTGGGCGATCCCGATGGTCCGTTCTTGCTGTTTGTTGCAGCAAATGAGCTCTCAACAAGTGTCCCTTTGTCCTCCATTTGTACTACACACAAGATGCCACTTTATGTTTTATTTTAAGGAAAGTTGCTGCAGGCGACGATCAAGAGTCCGGCAAGTCAGATATCATCTGCGGAGCAACATCTCACTGGAGACTCGAAAGAAAAGCCAAAAATACCAGTAGACAATGTTGTGAGAGGAATAATAATAAAAAAAAACAAGTTCATTTTCTATAGATTTCAAACATCCTTGTCGCAAAATCTAAACCTGGTGACAGAAGAATCGTAAGCGTAAATGCAACAATTTACAAATACGATGCAAACGATGCGCCCTAATCGCAGATACAATGACTTATCTTCCATCAAACTGCTGTTCTCATCAAATTACAACATAGACCCTTTCATTTCTGGGAAACTTCAGATCTCCATCATGTGAAAAGCAAGAGCTGCAGACTAACACAAAGGCCACACTTATTTAATAGCCTGCTCTTCACGTTAGTAAGTGAAAAACAACCTGGCATAAATCTACAACAAAGGAGGGCCACAAACATCCTCGGGAGGCTCCAGCAGTCCACAGGCACATTGTTGTCTCCTAGGTCATTTAGCCACATGAGGAGTTTGACACCCACTGGTGCCCTAAAGACAGCTTAAGTTTTTCAGCTTCCATGTTAAAATAAACAAGAAGGAAAACGAACTCTGCCAGCAATCCATCAAGTTTCTGGGTGTTCTATTTATATTTATATTTTTAAATATTTAACTCGGCACTGTCCCAGACAGAGGAGGCTGGGCTTTGCAGCAAGATCCCTTTAACCAGAGAACATATCTTTGATTGGTCCTGGCAACAGCATCAAAGTCTATACAGTCAGGTTTCTGCATTGCAAATCTATCTCGTGTTTGTCTCACTGGATTCTCTTGCAAAGCCTTTGCTAACAGATGCTGCCATATATCCCACATCAGAACCAATTGATTTTTTTATTAGTTCTGGAAGTACTGTATTACAATACAAGCCATTTTTAAAATGCATTTTTTTATTGGTGGTGTCTGCTGGTGTTAGTGGGTGGTGGGTTGTGTACTAGATGCCAGGCTGGACTTTCTGTAGATTGGATTGTTGAGCTATTGTCAGATTACCATTGGAAAATTGGATCACAGGGACCTGCATTGATGTCGGTTTTCTAACATGCACAACCACATGCTCAATCATGCTATAACTTAATGTCAAATAACCAACTGGGTTCTTTTGTATTACACTGTTCTATGTGTGTGTTGTCTTTTACTACAATGCAAGAATCCCTCACACTCTGTTCATTCAATTTGCTTACTTGAAGAAGGCTGTGTGAGTTGACTTTCTACTATGAGTTCCACTGTAGTTGTCCTTTTGAAACATTCCTCTTTGGAATTGCATTTTGAGGTAGCACAACATTATTTAAGTTATGTAGGGATGTGTAAGTACATGGTATAAAATAATATTGGAAGTTGGGACTCTTTGAAATTGTTCATCAGCTTTTCAAAATTACTTTTTTACTTTATTTTTATGTTTATGTTAGTTTTTTTGACCCAAATGTTTGAACTCTTTGGGAGAAGGATTTTAATATGATGTGTTGAATAACTTTTTTTTATTTTTTTTAAAGAAAACACCACATAAATGAAAAATCTAATTTTAATCATAGTTTCTTAAAGGCACATGCACCCACTACAACTAAATGGTGAGCATCAATATTGATGGGCAGCTTCAATATTGATCTTACATTAATCTTACAGAGGAATAATGAATTGTTTTGCCTTGTTTATTTTTAATTCTCTCTTACAGGTGGTAGAGGAAAGAAAAGAAATTATTGCAGAGCTTGATTTGTATATCTGTTTTAAAATTAATAATTTTTTTGTGTGGTATAAAGATAGGATTTTCCCATGCTTATTATCTGTTTGCAACACAAACCAAGGTGCTAAAATATGTAATAAGTCATAATTGTTTTTGATACATGAATAATTTCTCATGTAGAATTATGAATATACTTGAATTATTCTATGCTAATATGCTAAATATTCTGATAAAAAAAAGAAAAAAGAAGAAGAAGAAGTCTAGTTATAAGAATGGTATTATTATACATTTGGAATGTACTTGAGTTTCATACATCTTGCAAATTTTATGGTTAACAGTATGTAAAATGTCTGACGTCATTAAAAAAACTCTATATTAAAAAAGATATTTCTGATGATGCACATCTCACTTATATTGTATAATTGTCCTTTACACCAACATACAGAATTGATTGCAACAGTTGTGAATATCACATGCTCTCAAAGCTATCTGAACTTTAGTGATGCCATTCCAATCACCATAATATCATCTTTAAATAATCATAATGAACATGTTAATGCTTACTCTTCATTCTTCACATTCAATATTGAAAAAATAAATTGTGGACAAAAAAAAACAATTATGGTTCAAAAAACTTCACAATTTGCATTACACTTGCTTTCAAAGTTTCAAGCTCAAAGAGAGATGTGAACCAGACAGTTAAACCTCAGAACCCCTTCATTTCTGTTTCCTCCACAGCTCAAAAAGTTATAATTTTTGTCATGTTTGAATCTTAAAATCTTTGTTTTCTGGAGAACCTTGCATGCAACAGAGATTGCCTAGAAAAAATCTAAAATGGTGGTAGGGACTGTTGCCCCTGCTGGAATTTGAATTTCCACTTCCATGTTCATAAACACAAAACTGCAAAGCCAATTTGGCACAGGCTTGCACCACAGGCACAAGAGAGTTGGAGGGTCCTCAGTTTATGTAGAACCCATCCAGAGAAAAATAAAAATAACAATTTCTTTTACAAAAGTGCACAAATGTCTCATGCTGGGCACAAACACACACACACACACATGCACAGAGCCTCAGCATTTCGACACTTGCAATGAAAACATATCCTGTTGTGGGTGGACCAGTCAGCAACAAGCTCTGTGGCCACATGGCTATTTGTTAGTTCTTATCCCAACCTCATCCAGTTATTGCCACTAAAGTTTAAAAAAAAAACAAATAACAGATACAATTTGAGTGATGAGTTGGGTACTTGTCTTTCTGTACAATGCCTTTTCTTTGGATTGAAATCCAACCTCTTCAGGCATTCTATGACTTTCTTTCTTATTCTTCACTCCTGAAAAAGAATGAACACCCATTTGAATGCTACAAAACAATCCACAAAAGAAGGGTTGTGTTTGCAAGAAGGGACCTGAGAGTGTGTGTGTGTGTGTGTGCATGTGTATGTGGCTTTTTACATGCAAGATTTTGGATCAAGGTTTGTCACTTTTTTGAGAGTTTGGTGGTGCATGGATTAGCCTAGTTGGCAATGTGATGGTTTCATGTCGCCTATTGCTACCATTGAGCACATCACCCATTGCTTGGAGTTTAAAAAGCAGCTCATCCATGAAGTGTGTTGGATTTTATTATATATTTTATATTATTTATTTATTTTGGTTTTTTTTTGTCTTCCTTTGAATAAAGAGCTAAAGTTGATATACCCTTTCAAATACAAGTTTTTGTTTTGTGATTGGGTTGTGTGCTTTGAAAGTAAAGGTGTGGTTGTGAAGTGTCCTTGTCTATCATAATTCTGCTACAGGATGCAATTTTGTGTTAGAATGGTGAAAATGCTACATCTCCAATCATGAAAATGATCAGTTGAAATAATTAAATAAGTAAGAATACATATATATATATATATATATATATATTTATTCATGTAGGGCAAAGAAGTAAAAAAAAAAAAAACCATCCTAAAATGAAATTAAAGAATACTTGTAAGAAACTTGGCAATAAAATTTTAGGCCTATTAATGATATGGATGATGAAATTATCTTTTTATTTGTTGTGTTCTGAGCAAGCCATCTCCACTGAACATGTTACATTTAAAAGACTGTGTTGTTCACCAGGGATTAAAAGATTTAATTTTTTTGTGTGAAACCACAGTATGTTGTAGCAGGTGCAATGGCCTTTTGGAAAGTAATGATCTTGATGGATATCAATGGTAGGACAGGACAATATCCAGAATGTGTACACTAGGCAGCATGCCAACTATTAATCCCTATGAAGGCATGTGAAGTCATATCTTTGTTGATGTGTTGGTGTATTAGGACTGGGATGGTGGCTGCTCTGAGACAATCAGTCAACTTTGCAGTCAATTTGCAGTCAATTTGGGTATGAGTGCATTGAATGTTGACATTTAGAAGCGCCTGGAGCTTGCTTTTGAGTTGTAAGGGACTTTGTTGTTGTTGTTGTTGCTGTTGTTGCTGTTGTTGCTGTAGTTATTGATGGTTAACTTTTGCTCACCTATGTGCTTTTTACTTTTTGTAAGAATCTTTTACTGGCTATTTCAGAAAC